GATGCCATAGGAAGGGTGAGATTGGTTAGTTTGAAAAAAAAAAAAAAAAAAAAAAAAGATGGAAACAAGTCCTGGAGTTAAGGAATACTGAGGAAACTATGAGATAGAAAAGAGCTTGAAGATGTTAGAGTGCTTCGAAAACCAAGGAAAAAACTTTTACTGAGGTAGATTGAAGGAGAAAAATTTAGATATTGTGATTCTTCAACTGTCTCATTAAAAGAGAAATTAAGATCATTGAGTTAAGAGTATTAGAGCTTGGAGCTAGAAAGATGGCTTAGTGGCTAAGAACAGGTACTGCAGAGGACCTGAGTTAGGTTCCCAGCCCCATGTCAGGCAGCTCACAACCACCTGGAACACCAGCATCAAGAGATCTGATGTCCGCTTCTGGCTTCTGTGGGCACTACACTCATATACACATATCCGCATGCACCTATGGAACACATACATGCATGCTGCACACGTGTGCACATACACAAAAAATCTTTAGAAAAGGGTATAGAGCTCTTGGTAAGGTTGACAGAAAAATCTTGAACCACAAACTGAACTAAAAATGAATAAAACCTTTAGAGCTATACTTACTAAGACATTGGTGATGCTGGTGAAGAGACAAGGGGTTGGTAGATAGAGGAACACAATAGAGAATCCAGAAACAAATGGCACATGTATTGTCAGCTTGTTTTCTGAAGAAGCACAAAGGCAGTCTAATAAAGGAAGGCTATTCCTTTAAAAAAATGAAGCTAGAGTAATGGGATATCTTATCTAGTTGTAAAAAATTCATTTGGAGGACTGGGGAGATGACTCGGTAGATAAGGGCACTTCTTGCTAAACCTGAAGACTGAGTTTGATCCCTGGAACTTGCATAGTGGAAGGAGAGAACCAACTCCAGCAGCTTGTTCTCTGACCCCCACATAAATGCTATGGTTTGTACCCTTCCCACAGTAAATATAAATTTAATTAATTCAGTTACTACCACATAATATTTATAAAAATTAACTCAAATGAATCATAGACTTAATATTCTTGAGTATGACGTACTGAAGAATCATTGTGAAATTGTGGTAGACAATGATTTCGTAAGTATTACCACTGAAAGCAGAACCAAAAAAAGAAAAAACGAGATTTAGTTTAATCAAAATTTAAAACTTCTACTCTTTGATACCATTTAAGAAAATGAAGGGCTGGGGAGATCAATCAGTGTGTAAAATGCTTGCTATGGAAGCATGAGGACCTGAGTTCAGATTCCCAGAACCCAAGTAAAAAGCTGGGTGTGGTGGTGTGCACCTATAACCCCAACATTGGGCAGGGGGACAAGAGAGTTCTGGGGTCAGTCTAGATGAAACAGCAAACTTCAGCTTCAGTGAGAGATCCTGTCTCAAAAGGTAAAGTGGAGAGCAGTCAGAGAACAATCAAGTAAGATAGCCAAAGTCAACCTCTGACCTACAGATGTGTGCCTCTCTCTCTCTCTCTCTCTCTCTCTCTCTCTCTCTTAGAAAGAAAGAAAGAAGGAAAGAAAGAGGGAGGGAGGGAGGGAAGGAAGGAAGGAAGGAAGGAAGGAAGGAAGGAAGGAAGGAAGGAAGGAAGGAAATAAATGTAAAGGTTCCAGGATGTAGCTTAGTGGTAGGGCGCTTGTGTATAATATGTGAGGACCTAGGTTAGAGTCCCAGAAACACACACACACACACACACACACACACACACACACACACACACACACAAACATATAATCTGGTTAACATTTAGGGGACTGCAGCTCAGTTGGTAGAGTGCTTGCCTGGCATGCAACAGGACTTGGGTTTGATTTTCAACATCACATAAACCAGGTGTGGCACATGCCTATAATCCCAGTACCCAGGAGTTGAGGCATGTGGATCAGAAGTACAAGGTCATCCTGAGGCAAATAACAACTTTAAGGCCAGCCTGGTCTACATAGTTCTAGGTCAACAGGAGCTACAGGGAGATCCTGTCTCTAAAAGACCAAGAGAAAGAGAGGGAGGGAGGGAGAGAGGGAGAGAGAGAGGGAGGGGGAGGGGGGAGGGAGGAAGGGAGGGAGGGAAAAGAAAGGACTGTGGCAGCTATTACAGCTATTAGCGGACCCATTGAGGCAGTTATATTCAACAAATATATAGCTGAGGGCAAAGAAGCAAGCCAGAGCTATGATGGGGTAAGCATAAAAATTAAAAAAGTATGGATTGTTGGGAATTACTATCGTAGAGGCAAACAACCTTTCATACCAAGAAATTAACCTTATTGCAAAACAGAGGCAGAGGCTGCTGATTTTTATTTTATGAAAACGTCATTGTTATTGTAACATTGAGCCAGTTACATTAGTATACTCTGTATGTGCAGTTGCAGAAATAACAAGTGTGTAATGTAATTTCAGAATCAATTTTATCAAGTTAAAATTTTCCTGCACTAAACTGTATCAGTTTTAAATATGTAGTTCAAAAAGTTTTGATGGGGAGGGGCCTGAAGAGATAACTCAGCATTTAAGAACACTGACTACTCTTGTAGAGGACCTGGGTTCCGTTCCCAGCACCCACATGATGGCTAACAACCATCTGTAACTCCAGTTCTAGGGGATTTGACACCTTCTTCTGGCCTCCTTGGGCACTGCACAAATGGGTACACCATATATATGCAGGTAAAACACTCATAAACATAAAATAAAAATAAAGTCTCTATGGATATACCTACCTATATAATCACTACCACTGAGGATTAGAATTTTCTGATCACAGCAGAAAGCTTTCCTTTGCAGTCATTCTCTGACACTTCCCTCTGGTCCCTGGGTAGCCACTGATCTTTCTGACTTTAAAGATTAGTTTTGCCTTTTCTAGAACTGCATATGAAAGGAACCATACAATGTTTTTCCCTCCCTCCCTGTTCTAGTTTGTTTCTCCAATGTTGTGACAAAGTGCTCTGACCAATACCAACTTGGGGAGGAAAGGGTTTATTTGACTTACGTCTCCCAGGTCACAGTTCATCACTGAGGAAGCCCAAGGTAGGAACTCAGGGTAGGAACCTGGAGGCAGGAGCTGGAGCACAGACCATGGAGGAATGCTGTTTACTGCTTGCTCCTCTGGCCCATGCTCAAACTACTTTCTTATACAGTACAGAACCTGCCCAGATGTGGCACTGCCTGCAGTGGGCTGGGCCCTCCCACATCACTCAACAAACAATCAAGAAAATACCCCATAGACATGGCCACAGGCCAGTCCAATGGAGACAGCTCCCCAGTTGAGGCTCCCCCGCTGCCCAGGTGTGTCAAGTTGACAACTAAAGCTATCAGCATACTTCCTTCCTTTCTTTTGCCTTTTCTCAGTGTAATAATTTTGAGACTTCTACTATATTGCATTTATTAGGCGTTTCCTTTTTTGTTTAATAGCATTTCATTGTGTGGTTATATTACAATTTGTTTACAGAGTCATCTGTTTTTGGATATTTGAGTTGTTTCTAGTTTAGGACTACTGTGAATGAAGCTGTTGGGAGAATTCCTTAATAAAATTTTCATTTCTCCTTGGCATAAATATCTGTGATTGAATGGCTATGTGTTGAAAAAAGTGTATATTTAACTTTATAGTAACATGCCAAGCTTGTTTTTCAGAGTGGCTACCCCCTTTTTACAGTCTGTCATTGGTGTTTCAGTGCCTCAGTGTACTACTTAATTACCAGTCTTGATATTGCCAGTCTCTTTTTATTTCAACCACTCTTAGGATGTGCAGTTATATTTTAAAGCACTTAAACGAAAGGTCTAGAGTTGGATGATGGTGAACGTTTTATTATCCATAGACGTTTGATGATCCAGAAACTCCTTATCCTATAGCTTGTGCGTGAGAGTCCCAATTGTGTGAAATTGTATCTCATATTTGTACTTTCAGCAAATAGATTCACCTATTTGTTACTAGACCATTAGATAATCTAACACTTCTTTTCTTTTCATCTTAATATGATCCAAATTTTACCTACTAAATTTATAGATTTAGAAGATGGAGAATGTTGTTGAGGGGCAAGGGTTCTGATAACATTCTGGTGATGATGTTAGCCATTAAATATCACTTACTAGCTATATACTGAACACTATGCAAAGAGCTTGACTGGAGAGATGGTTCAGCAGTTCTTCCAGAGGACTTGGACTCGATTCCCAGCACCCACATGACTGGCCACTAACAACTGTCCTGTAACTTCAGTTCCAGGGGATCTGACACCGTCTTGCCTGTTTTGGCATTGCCTGCACATGGTATACTTACATACATGCAGGTAAAACATTCATACACATAAAATAAAAATAATAAAATATTTTAAAAAGAAATTTACAAGGTTAGAAAATACTTGATTGAACAAATTAATACAGGAATGAATTATAGCAAAGGGAGTATAATCTGATAAGCAAGTCAGCTTTTCTTTTTTCTGAAATAAAAGTCCCTCAAGTTTTATGTTAAAAATTCTAAAATCTTTTAATGTGGCTTTAATGACATGAAGAAAGGAAACTGTTTCCAAAAACTGTCTGGCTCTTGAGGTTTCCACAGAAAGTTTTTATTTCATTTTCTGACCTTTGTAATTTTTTTGCCTTATAATCTAAAATTTGAGTGCTTGTTACATTAATATAGAATGAAATAATTTTGGGGCTGGAGAGATGGCTCATCAGTTAAGAGCACTGATTGTTCTTGCAGAGAACCCAATTTGATTCCCAGCACCCACATGGCGGCTACAAACTGTCCTTAACTCCAGTTCCAGGGGAATCCGAAGCCCTCCTCTGACCTCCACGGCGTTGCACAACACGGGTGCACTCACACACATACAGGCAATACACTCATACACATAAAATAAAAATAATAAAATATTTTTAGAAAAGAATGAAATAATTTTAGGTATGTGCTGTTATAAGGATTTAAAAACATTTATTTTACTTAATGAGAAAAAATCATATCTAATTCAGCTTTAACATAGTATTCAATGTGTGAATGATTTAATAAAATGTTTCGACTGTTTTTGTTCCCCAGGAAGGTCATATTCAAAAGAAGAAGGAACTCTGGGGCATCTGCATCTTTATTGCAGCAGTTGACCTTGATGAGATGCCTTTCACTTTTACTGAGCTACAGAAAAACATAGAAACCAGGTAAAATTTCTTATATAAATTTAGGCCTTTGTCACTTCAAAAGTACTTTTAAACTTTTCATAAATTTTGGAAATTAGTGAAAATGCTAAAATTAAGTCAGACATAAGGGATTGGGACAAGTAGTGAATTGTCATTCTCTCTGGGATGGACTAAGGTTTACTAGGCTTCATTTCTTAAACCCGTTGCACAGTTGGTATCCTGTGAAAAATTTTTGTTTGTCCCTTTCTCTTCATCTGTAGTCTTAGCTGTTGGTAAATTGGACAAAAAAGCAAAAATTTATAACGTAGGTTTACTGTATATTAAAACCTTTATAAAAGTAGCAAGTCTGTCTTAGGGCTGGAGAGCTGGCTCAGTGGTTAAGTGTATACTGCTCTTGCAGAGGACCTGAGTTGGGTTCCCAATTAGAATTGCTTGTAACTCCAGTTCCACAGGGATTCATTGCCTCTGGTCTCTGGGGGCACCTGTACTCAGGTGTACACACACACACACACACACACACACACACACACACACATACACACTTAAAATCTTGAAGAAAATCTTTTAAAAAAGCAATGAGTCTATCATAACAAAATTTAACTACTGTATGTTCCTTATTGATTATAATACTTGACCCAGTAGTTCCTTATTGCATTTTTTTGGGCTTTAAGAGTATATTAATTTTTGCCCAAGTAATTCACAAACTTTATTTTGAAAAACTTAAAGGACTTCTGTTATTTCCTTTGTGGTATATTTACAAAATACAGCTGCAGTAAATACATTTAACAGAATGGTAATTGTACATAGTTCTTAAATAAAGTCATCTAGAATTAAATATAATTAAGTTTTGTTTTAGTTAAATGAAGTATATTAAATTATATTTAAATTTTTTTTTATTTTATTATGATTATTTTATGTGTGAATGTTATGCCTGAATGTATGTAAGTGCACCCATGTTGTGCAATGCATGAGGGGGACCAGAAGAGGGTGTTGAATCCCCTGGAACTGGAATTATGAATGGTTGTTACCATGTGGATGCTGGGATTCAAACCTGGGTCCTCTGCAAGAGCAGCCAGTGTTCTCAACTGCTCAGCCATCTCTCCAGTCCATAAATCATTATATTTTAAAATATTTTTTGCTGCCTTTTAAATACAATATGGAAACAAAGGCTTTGTATGCTCATATCCAAAAAGAATATAAATAGCATAAAGAGTTCACAGAGTCAGTACCTGTAATACCACAGGCACTAATCCCTCCCTCCCCTCTTTCCTTCTCTCAAATTTCCCTTCCAAAAGAGACTTTGTTCTAACAGCTCATACCTGCCATGGTGCTCTTAGGACAGACGTGAACTAGGATGTGAACTAGTCAAGACTGATTCTTTTGTTCAGGACTCTGTACATGTACTTCACAGTCTTCTTTCTCGTTTTCTCCCATCCCTTCTTCTCTTCTAAACAAATGCAGTGTAAGTAACCTTAAATCAAGAGTCCTATGAGAGAATACCAGTTCATCATTTGACCCAGATCCTTTGTGTTTAACTTAATGTTAGCATTTCTCACTAATTTCCTAAAGTCAATTAAGTGGAAAGTTTAGAAGCATTTTTTTCATAACCAATATCCTGATCTGCTCAGTCTTCTGCCATTTCTGCTTCTTTTAAAAAATTTATTATTTTTATTTTATGTATATGAGTGTATTGCCTGCATGTGTGTAAGTGCACCCGTGTCATGCAGTGCCCACAGAGGTCAGAAGAAGGTGATGGATCCCTGAGAACTAGAGTTACAGACAGTTATCTGCCCTGTGGGTGCTAGGACTCAAACCTGTTTTCTCTGTAAGAGCAGCCAGAGCTCTTAACCACTGAGCCATCTCTTCATCCCTCTATTTCTGCTTCTTTATTTGCTCCTCTATATAGCTTATCAAGACTGTCCATCCCTCTACACAATGAGAACTTTTAGTAACTTCTTTTTTGAGTGTTCTTTGTCTCTTGCTAATTAGCTCAGGCTTTCTTGTTTGTTTTGAAGTGTAACCTCCTTGTGTTGCCCATGTAGTTCTCAAACTCTGTACTTAAGTGATACACCTCAGCTTCACCAGTGCTGGGAATGTAGACTTATGCTACCTCATCTGTCTTCTCTGATGTTCCTACTGATTGTTGGATAATCCATAAATAGACTACTGACTGCTCTTTGGTTCTTTTAACTGCTTTGGTATGTTCTTATACAAACATAATTAAAAATTAATGTATGAGATGTATCTGATTACTTCTATCTTCAGTGTCCTGTTGAAAAGTGTGTATTAGCACTTCAAAGATTAATTTTTGTAGGAAAAAAAGGAGTGATCAGAAGTCATTAAACAACATAAAATTTCAGTCAGCTTTCTTTTTCCCTTCTCTGACCATATAGTCCTAAAACCTTCGGCAGGACAGAGAATTATCAGTATATGGTAAGGAAATGACAAGGATACAGAAAAGATGATAGTTTAAGGTGAGATGAGGAAGACATTCACATGATGGTGGCAGCCACATGGGTGGAGCAACCTGACATAAGCTGGGTAGCCTGACATAGGCTGTGTGGTGTGCAGTGTTACACCAAGTACAGTGTGTGGGCAGCTAGTTTAGGGAGGCATAGTACAAGGGAGTCGAGGAGGAAAGCCTGGTATGGGGAAGGGTGAGAACAGTGCACAGTGAGGAGTTAGTCTGAGTAGGAGAGGAGACTTTCCACATGGAGGCATGGAAGGCTTTGGGGATCCAGCCTTACAGGCTATTTGATCTAATGAGCAATAAATTAAAAATACAGAATTATGAATATGGGAAAGGAAGCACTAAAATGAGCCATTTGGTTTTGTGTTAGAATTGAATAAATTGATGTGAACTTATTTTAAAAACACAGAGATATAAGTAAGTGACTGTAGATAGTGATTGTGTACTGTGTGTCTTAGCAATCTCAGTGAATTTTGAATGGTTTTGCCTTGTGTGTGATTAGTGTTTGAGGAGATATGTTTACCCTCGTTGTGTAATGTATATACATATATGAAAACATTACCTGGTACCTCATTAAGGCATAAAATTCTTGTGTTTTTAGTGTATCAGTTAAAATAAATTTAATTAAAAACCCACATAGATTTGTTTAGAAATAAATATATGTATATGTCTTTTCATGACCTCTGTTGGGTTTTTTGTTTTGTTTTTTGTATTCCTAACTTTAGATATAACCAGCGATATATAGGTGTTAGAACGCGGGTTGCTTCTAGAAAAGTGCATAAATAAATAAAATCTTTCCAAAGGACATATAGTAAGTTGCCATAAAGTGGATAATCTTTTGACTTGAAATATCTGTGCTTTAAAAATGAAATAAAGCAAATTTTGATACTGATGTACTTTTTCTTTTCTTTGTAGTGTCTATAAATTCTTTGACTTACTAAAGGAAATTGATACCAGTACCAAAGTTGATAATGCTATGTCCAGACTGTTGAAGAAGTACAATGTGTTATGTGCACTCTACAGCAAGCTAGAACGGTAAGGCAAAAATTATAGTACCTTGATTTTCTGTTGTTTTTTTTTTAATTTTTGTATCCTGACTTTTCATGTCACTGTTTAGTTAGATTCAATCTGTGAACTATTATATATTTAAAAATTGTTAAGTATTATGCCTTGCTATTAGTTTTTATTAATTCTTAGGTAATTTATCTAGTCATAGCATTCTGAATGCTTGCTCCAAAATGAACTCTTTTTACTAATCTTTCATGTTTCATTTGTTTTCTCAAATTTTTAGCTTACTTCCCATTTTAGCCTCATCTACTCTATTTCTAGTTCTGATAGTGGCCTACATTTTAATGTCTTCCAGTTGCATTATTTAGCTTAGAAAGAAGCTGAGCTGGCAGTGGGAGGTACGGGGTGGGTATTACCAAGTGATGATTTGTGCTCCAGTGATCATCTAGGAGAAACTCTACTCTTACTGTTCAACTGGGAGAAGAATGTCTAAACCTGGGTTATGTTGTTGGTTATTTTTCATCCAAATTGTAGGCTTCTAACCCAATTATTTTAGTTCTTAATGTGACATGTGCCTGCTATTGTTTGTTTTGGAGCTCACTGTATTTGAGTAGGAGCATGTAAAAGTTAATGTTTTACTTAAATAAGCAACTGAATAAAGAGAAGGGGAAAAGTGGTATGGTCTTAGGTATTCTAGGGAGAATGAGAATAGAGACAGAGCTGGAGAGAGGCATGTTTTCAGAAGCTTGAAGCTATTTTCTTGTCCTTTGCTTCTTGATTGGTATGTCACATTCAGAGATGTGATAGAAGATTTTTAAAAAGTAGAGGAGGTCCTGCCCTCACCTTACTTTGCTTCTTGGGCTGCACAGCCTCTGGTGTCCTGGTGGTAGCACCTTTCCCGGGTAAGTCCAGCATGCCCACCATGCCTTGACTCCCCCAGCCTCTTTCACCCTCCCAGCTTCCCCACTGCCTCCTCCTAGCCTGGGTAGTAGCCCATTTCTTGTCTTGGCACCCCAGACACTGGGGTGAACCTCCCCACCCAGAGCCACCACTGCTTCCTGATCCTTTGCATCCAGACCTAGTCCCCAGGACCCCTAAGGGCCTCTTCCCAGCTCCTCCCAGTAGTCCCCAGCACCCCTAAGGGTCTCTTCCTACCCAATCCAACCTCCACCTAGCAAGCCTCCAAAATTTTAGTGTGCCTTCTGACTAGAGGGACCCAGATCTTAGGAAGAAGCCTGAGAGCATCTGATCCTCATCTGACTTGGGCCTTTATGGGAACTCCTGTGTAGCTGGACTAAAGCCATCAGTCCCCTCCAATATCAAGTCAAAAGAGAGAACCTGAACCAACCAGGTTTTCATACTGAATAAGAAAACAACACAGGCAAATCAAGTATAAAAAGAAGCAGATCTAAACTCAAGAAAGAAAGGCTTAAGTCTCACACAAGAATCAGAAGCTACGAAAGAAATTTACATATCAAAGTCACAGAGGAAAAAATAGTAACATGAAAAACCAAAATAATATATCCCCACCAAGTACCAATACTCCTCC